TAAGCTTATATTGATTGTGCCAATTGAGGTGCCCTCTTGCTTCTGATCATTTCATTACTAGCTAATAGTCACAATTTTGTAACTATAAGAAACAACGCCAATCTTGAATACATCTTGAATAATTTAGTCAGCAAATTATTTGCATTCTACAAACAGAAATGTTACCCACCTCTCTCCTCTGACTATGTTTACCTATCTTTTGTCATCTAAAAAAGCACATCTGGGAAATCCTCATCCGACTCTTTTACTTACCTACCAAAGTGTCAGTACTTGAATACCTTCAGTGCTCGAAACACAGTTAGTAAGAGAAAATATTACATTTTTTATAAATTAATTATATACATTATTTATAGTTTGTATAACTTTTTATATATTTCATTTGTCTATTTCATGTTTCACGAATCACTATATTTTTTTATTAACCATTATCTGTCGTATAATATTATATCTCTGATTGCATTAAAAATTTTCAGCCCTGATGATGACCCGCATATTTGGATTGAAACGTCGGCACTAATAAAAACTTTATAATGACTGCGTCCTCAATATTTATTACCCATGTTTCTAGTTATGTGTTTGGAAAAACAACTCTAACCAAAATGATAAAAAATATTTACATTAAATAGTAAATCTTCGTTTTCATTATTTTAAAATTTTAATCTTGTCTACCTATAGAGAAATAAACATTTATATCTTTGTTTTAACTGTATACAACCATCGTTTATTTTCGCTCTACTCTAAATAAATAAACAAACACAATACCGTTAAATAAACTAAAGTTTAAAATGAAATAAAAGGTGAGGTCATCAAGGTGGGGCCGTATAAGATGGTCTGAAGGAAGTAAAAAGCAACTTTTATTTCCTTCTTGCACTAATATTATTACCTGTTAATAATAATAATAATAATAATATATATATATATATTTTCAATCTCTAACCCTTATTATTTTTAAATATTATAATTTCATAAGGGTAAGGTAAATTGAATCTAAGAGTATTTGGTTGAACCTTTATGACTGGATCTGTATCAGTTATTCTTAATATAATATTTAAAATTAATGAAAAAAAAATTTTTTTTCATTAGAGAATCATTATCGGTGGTGTTTAAAATTTTATAGTAATAAAATGAATGTTTATTATTCCATAACTATTGTAAAATGAATATTTGTAATTGATACATTTTTATAGTTATAATAAACATATTATAATTATATTTTGGTTTTTAAATAAAAAAAAACAACCAAAATAACGTTTATATGCAGTAATACAAACAGTAGTTATAAATAGGTATATAAAATTATGTGTTTCAAGATGTCTTTATGATTTTCGATGTTAATTTATTGTCAACTTTAAAAATTCCCAAGTTGAAACTAAGAAACTGGAATTTTTTGTTTTTAATGAAAATTTTCAAATTTTGTTGTCATAAATAGCACATGAAAACATAAAGGTACTTAATATCAAATTAATCTAACAAAATTTACAAATTATAGACCCATGTCCCATTGTATTTAAGGATTCTTTCAGGGACGATAGACGGGTTTTCGTGGACATGGGTCTATGTCCACGAAAACCCGTCTTTCGTCCCACTGCAGGGTAGGGCAAGGTGGAAGTGAAGAGTATACAAGACCAGCAAAACAAAGATGCAAGCTGAAAACTCCAGCCGGCTGGTTCTCAAGAGGTGTGAAAGCTCTCTTCCTATTACTGTCTAGAGTTTAAGATGCATGCATCTTGTGTCTTGCATCTTCGGTGAAAAGGAGCCTAAAGTATTCATAATTTCTCAGAATTTTCTCCAAAGCCAACTTTAAGAAACTGTTAGAAAGATGAATTAATTACTGCTCTTCTAATCTATATCGATAACTTTTGGTTTTTATATCTTTGGTTCTAATTTGTTCAAGGGGATAAGATTTGAACCATTTTGTGTAGCAAGTGAGCCCTAAATTCCTAATAATTTTTGTAAGGTTCAGTGGAATTGTTCAGAAGTTATCACAATTTTTGTAGTTGATGACAAACTTTTGAAGCATCCAGCCAAGGCAAACATTTTGTACAAAATATTTTATTGCTATGAAAATTTGTATTTAAGGATTCTTCCAGGTACGAAAAATGAATATCAACTTTGTATTTACTTAAAAAAATATTTTCTCCGACATTGCTAAGTTCGTTGGTTCAGTTTGTTCCCATATTATAGCTATCTGCCAAATATAATATTTTTTCTAAATCAGAAATATTTTTTTAAGGAGGAAAAAGTTGATATTCATTTTCACACCTTAAACATTTAAATATGAATTCATGTAGCATTTGAAAAAATAATCTTTTTAGAAGTAAGTGTTTCCCTAGATTGGACTATTCAAAATTTTGTCAACTACAAAAATTGTGATAACTTCAGGACAACTCCACCGATCCACATAAAAATTATTAGGTATCTAGGGCCCTAGATGCTATACTAAATGGTATAAAACTTATCCCCGTAAATAAATTAGAACCAAAGATATAAAATAAAAATGTTTCTTTATTTCTAGCTTAAAAAGGAATACAATCCAAAAGTTATTGATGTGAGTTAGAAGAGTAGTAATTTAGCCCTTGAACAGTTGTACTAAAATTGAATTAGGATAAAATCATGAGAAGTTATGAATACTTTAGTTAATGGCTGGAAAAAAAAATTCTTCAAGAAAGTCAAATACTAAAATTTGCAATTTTTTATTTCTTTACAAATTCGTATTTAAAAGTTTTGAAGAATACCAAAACTTTGTTTTTATAACAAAAATTCACTAATAAAATAAAATAATTAAAAATTTACTGGAAGTGCCTTTTGGTTTTTTATGACACATTAAACATTACAAGTCATTTGATACCGTAATCAATATTTTTTTCTTATCTTCCACAAAAAAAAAAAAATAAAATAAAATAAAAAAAAAAATAAAAAAGGAAAAATCATTTGGTATAAAATATCTTTAAAATCTGGGAAAAGTAAAGGCAATACATATATATATATATATATATATATATATATATATATATATATATTTTTTTTTTTTGTTTCCTATTGGAACCAAGGTTGGGACAAATTTGGTTGACCCACTGATTGATTGTGACCTCCCTTGTTAGCGACTTAATAAACTGACAGTATAATTAATTAATACCATATATGACTGTTATGAATCCTACACAAAAAAACTGGAGAAATTATAGGAATTCTTTACTTTACTCGTATTTCTCAAAAAGCAACTTGATCCATTTGAAATTCAATGCTGTAATACTCAGGATTGATCAAATTTTTTTCTTTTGAATTTTTCCTTATGCCATATTTCAAAATTAAGTTAGAGATTGTCCTTCATGCTTAATTAAGCTCTGAAATCCTTCTAATTAGTGCTTAGACTGCCAGGTGGTGAAAATCTGATTTCCATTGCGTCCTCATTAACAAATAATTCTAGAAAAGGATGATAGTAAGAATCAAAGAACCAAAATAATTTATTTAGAGAATTCTAAATTGGGACATTTCACGCAAGGTAATACAATTTGTAAGAATGGTAATTTTAATAAGTGAATCACACTAAATAACTTACTAGTAAATAAACAAATTATGTCAAAACAAATTTATGACAGAGATCGATAGATTCATGGTATATTTATGTAGGAGTAAAAATCATAATCCAATTACAAACTGAATCTCGCTTTTATATGAATTCGATCCTAAAAAAAAGGGTTTAATATTAAAAGTTGGCTAAACATCTAGATGATATAAAATTCATCAAATGTCATACAGCAATTAACAATGCAAAAATTATTTGAATTTATCTTCTTCTGATAAATGAGATACTTATGACTCTTTTTATTATCTTGCTCAATATTAAGACTGTAATTAGGATTTGCCTCAATAATAATTGAATTGTCTAAAAATGATTCAATTTCTTTGAAGTTATTTATGAAGGAATGAAATATATCATTACTTCTAGGATATGATGGTGAAGAGTGGTTGTTCAAAACAGTTTAAGATTATTTTACTCCACAAATACCATGATCACCCCATGGCTTATGGTCAACTATTGAAATATGATCGAACCCAGATATCTAATAAGAAACCAGCTGACATTTTTGTGAAATTTGGTTTAAAAAGCAGCATTGATATTTTTTCATTTTGATACAAAACTCCAAGACCATATCTAAATTGGATACTGATTTACAGAAATTCTCGACTTAAGTTTTTCTGGAGGAATGAAAATTCTAGAAGAAATTACCTATACAGCTTATAAAACACAAAAATATTGTCTGGTTTCTTATTCCGTATCTGAGTTCAATTATTAAGTTTTTGTGGAGGAATGAACATTTTAGAATAAATTACCTATACAGCTTATAAAACACAAAAATATTGGCTGGTTTCTTATTCCCTATCTGAGTTCAATTATTACTGAAGGGGGTGGCCGAGTGGGCTAACATGAGTGCACAACACCACGCGTTGCCGAACAACCTGATAACCGAAGTTATAGAAGATAAAATAAGTACGAGCTCACGCTCTGGTGCCGGGAGGATGGAGGAAGGGCTTTTAACTCTGGCATTAATCCCCCACCCTTACCCGCAGCCCAGGAAAACCCTGTATAACCTAACAGGCGAGGAAGGGGAGAAAAAAAAATTAGCACAACAAAATTTTGTGATTTGTAAAATATGATGGTAAGTCAAATTCCAAAATCAATACAAAAATTTTCTTTCCAATTGATTCAAGTTAAAAAAAAAGTATTTAAATAAAATGTTTATAAATATTACCTAGCTCAGAGGAATTCAACAGTTGGATTGAGGTGCTTAAAATAAAATAAATTAGTGACACATTTAATGAGTAACTGATAGCAATATAAGGCTTGTATTAAAAAAATTAACAGTTAAATTTATAACAACATATCATAATTTAGTAATAAACTTTTAAATAAAAAATCATAAAACAGCATATAAGCTAGAAAGATAAACCGTTATTCTAAAGAATTATTTCCACACATCACATTAAAAGTAAAAGTTTTATTTTGAAATGAGATTCATCTTTTTCACATGTGTGTTTTTATGATGGGCTAATCCACTTCGCTGGGCAAAACTTTTTCCACATACAACACATGAAAAGCTTTTAATAGCTAAATGTGTTGACTTATGATGAATGACACCACTACGCTGAGCAAATAACTTACCACATATTTCACAACTGAATGACTTAACTTCCGAATGAGTCTGTTTGTGATGTGTGAGGCCGCTGCGCTGTCTAAAAGCTTTTCCACAAACATTACAATGAAACGATTTCACATCAGAATGCATAGGCAAGTGATGCGAGAGTCCACTTCTTTGAGAAAAAGTTTTTCCGCAAACAGAACAGATAAAAGATCCAGAGTGAGTTTCTCTCATATGAATTTGTTTTGTTTGTTTATCAGGAAATGTTTCACCACAAACATGACATCTTTGTTCAGACCAAACTTCATTATTTTCTAGGATTTGTGTCTCAGGGTATAATGCTTCTAGGACGTCATTTTCCAGCTCCTAGAAGAACAGATATTGGGAAATACACTTAGATATTTGAAAAGGAAATGAGAGGGAAACGTTACAAACCTTGGAATCCATATCTTGAAGAATATTCTTCATTATTCTATGGCCAGAGGCTCTCCAGCTCGAAGGAAATCACCTCATCATCATCATCATCATTACGAACATCGTTCGTCCCAAACTACTTCAACTGTCATTAGGAGTAACCTTCCTAATGACAGCAGGTTTTGTTGTGACTTGACGTAACCAAACTATGAAAGGTTTTATCAATTTCATTACTTCTGTTTTTTATCTTAGAAGAATATCCCTTTACTGTAACAATTAAAGTACAGCACACTGTGTTGCTTATTCATTTTGGGCATTCGTTAAAAATAAATAATTAAACGAAATTCGTTCCCTAAAAATTTTATTCTTAAACTTAAATAAGCGGTTATCAACGATTTAATTAACTGGCTGAAGTAGTCTATGTTGTGGAATTCTTATCTGTTTAAAGAAATTGGTTTAAGTTAACATGGAAACTGACTCGTCCTGTAGCGTTAAATTACACGTCACCCAATTTAAGTGGTATTTTTGACTTTAAATTTAATATCATTTCAGTTGACTAAGGACTTTTTCAACCTTGGATCTGATAATGTTAACGCATGCTAGCAGAAATTTTATCTAATAGCCTACAATATTGACGTGTTTAATTTGAAATAGTAAGTTTCACATAGTTGTTTAATTAACATGACATAAATATTCATTGTTGTTTCTTTCCTTCATTACTGATTATGTTTTAATATTTGAATTTGTTATAGTTATGTTTATGTTTATATTTATGTTTCCTTATTTTAATGTATCTGCTGTTTCAGACTTAAAATAGAAGAAAAATGTGTGGAGAAGAACCAAATATTGGAGAAATGAAAGCTCTTATTTTAGTCGGAGGGTATGGAACTCGACTTAGGCCTCTGACATTAAGTAGGCCTAAGCCATTGGTTGAATTTGCTAATAAACCTATGCTGATGCATCAAATTGAAGCATTAGTCGAAGCTGGAGTAACTGAAGTTGTATTAGCTGTATCATACAGAGCGGAACAGATGGAAAAGGAGTTGAGTGATGAGGCAAAAAAGTTGGGTGTTAAATTAATTTTTTCGCATGAAACAGAACCCCTGGGTACAGCTGGACCTCTGGCTTTAGCCAAAGATATTTTATCATCGACTAATGAACCATTTTTTGTTCTGAATTCTGATATTATTTGTGAATTTCCGTTCAAAGAACTTGTTTCTTTCCATAAAAATCATGGAAAAGAAGGAACAATTGTAGTGACAAAAGTGGAAGAACCATCTAAGTATGGTGTTGTTGTTTATGATGAGAAAGGTTGTATTGCCAGTTTCATTGAAAAACCACAAGAATTTGTTTCTAATAAAATAAATGCAGGCATGTACATACTAAACCCTTCAGTTTTAAAAAGAATTAAACTGGAACCAACAAGTATTGAGAAAGAAGTATTTCCGTTTATGGCTGAGGCAGGAGAATTGTATGCTATGGAGCTTAGTGGATTTTGGATGGATGTTGGACAACCTCAAGATTTTCTTACAGGTATTAAAAACAATACTAGTAATTTTTTTTTAAATTTAAATTTTACTTTTTAGAAAACGAAGGCAATAAAACTTCCATTATGTTCTTTATTTATTAAAACAATCTATCAAGTTACAATTAACATTTTAGTACACTCATCCCGATATTCAGGACTGAAAATTTTCTTATCGATTAATAACCAATGATGATATAAAATTATCTTCATGTCAATTCTTCATTAAATTAATAATAAATGAATTACATTTCATTTCATTATTATTAGTACCTCTTTGTCATTTTAAAATTGTAATAGATCTGTAAATATGGCCTTTATTGGTACAATGGGTGTGGCTAAAAACATTCTTTAGTGATTCATACATTTTTGACTTAGATGTTAAATCTTGAATAAGTTTTTGATTTACTATCTTCAAGGTTTCATGATTATTTATTATTGACTTTAAGCAATGTATTATATAAATTTACAGTCCCTGTATTTTTTTTTTTTTTTTCTAGAGTCTCTAAACCCAAATTAATTATTACAATTTCAATTTGAGTTTCTAGGTTTGGATGAATTATTCAATAGGGTGCATTGCTTACTCATTTTAACTTAACCATTTAAAATATATTGTCTTAATTTTTTTTAATCAATGATAGTAATTGGACTAATTTCTAAAAATGAGAAAGTACTGTATAAGCTGATTTGTCAATAAAATTATTAATAGTTTAATTATTATTTTTGTAATGAGATAAAAATGCAGTCGACTCTCGGTAATACACTTGCATCTCAGGGGAAATTTTTTTTTTCGAATTATGGAGTTTGTTGACTAATCAAGGTTTGAGATTACGAGGCCTTAAATAGTCAACTTTAAGTTATAAAGGTTCCAATTTCATTAAAATCTTTTAAATTTCTTCTCAAGTAGTAAACCAATACTAAGAAACATTAGGTATTAATCTATAATTTCCTGATACAGTACCTATTTTCATATTCATTTAGGCACCTATTTTATAGTCAGGTACTGATAACAGAATTTTTTAAAACATAATTTTTCCTAAGTTTTGAAGCATGAAACCCTTTATGTCTTGATTTTCATGAAAACTCCACATTTTATTTTATTTGCTTAAAATAGGCTATCAGAAGGAAATATTTTTTTGACATTGCTTCAACCATTTATGGTTTTGTTACAATTGTTAAGATCAGTAAAATTGGCTTTATTTGTCTGCACTTACTATGTCATATTTATTAATTTTTTTTAAATTGTTAAGTTAGTACATTGGATCCCTTGGCAATGTCCTCCCTCATGCTGCATATGTTGCCTTGTCCTTTAAGGGCATGTTATTCTCCTCTAAGAATAAAGTCATATAGTGGTTGCAGAGATGTTTAAAAAAACACATGTACACAGAGAGGTCGAAAAATAAAAACAATCTGAATATGGTATCAAGTATAGAACTAATAAGAGAGGAGCCATTCATGCTCTGGTAATGTAAGGTATCTTTTTTGAATTTCAAGGTATAGAGGTGATGGAATCTAAACTTTGTTTTATAATGGTTTTCCTTAAAGCCAGAAAGTTAATCTAATCCAGATTTTTATTTTGACTTAAAGAGGTAACAGTAAAGTCAAACAATATTGGGAAATAAATTTAAACAAAATTTAGTTGTGGAGGAATTTGATTTATTGAATAACTCTGTATTCAAATGTTCTTATATTCAAGCAACAAAATGTGAAACAGCTTGAAGTTTTTTATTAAAAATTTGTTCTAAGTGTCAAATTATTGAAAAATAAAAAATTTCTGAAATTTTTTTTCTTTTTTAATTGGAATATATTTAAGGGAACATAGCGATATGTACAAATTTTTCATGGTTAATGTCTGTTTTTCATATTTATTTATGATTATTAAGATATTTAATAATCATACTGAATTAGTTATGAAATGTTATAATGTCCATTTGAAATTATTAAATGAAATTTTTGAATCTCAGTTTTCAACGGAAATACATGTTTTGAAGTCCCCTGAGTCCAAATAACCAAGTGTCGCAAAATGGTCTGTGTGTGTGTGTGTGTCTTTGTGTGTGTGTGTTAAGTCTAGCTCATAAACGAAAAGTAGTACCAAACTGACATTAAGTATATAAGGTTTGTATATGAGCCGGATGTGACAGTAACTTTTTTGTTAAAATCGGCTAACCGGAAGTGCCACTTTATATGAACGCTGAAACACATTTTTACAATTTTCTCAACAACGGCTTTAATGATTTTGATTAAACTCGGTGTATCATTGTATAATTAAGTGGTCTTTAATATCATTTAGGTCTTATCCCCGTTGATGTCACTTTAAACACAGAGCTTAAATGCCCAATGTTCATATATGTCTTCCTCTAAAGTACCTTTAGTATGGTTTATTTTAAAAAGTTAATCATTTCACATTATTCAGAGTTACGAAAAAATGCTACATTTAACTTTTGAAAGAATTTGATAAGTTAATGAAGGAGAAAAAAAAATAAAAATGCAGAAAAACCTGCGTTGCTATAGATTGTAGCGCCTAAACGAATGTACCGATTTCAATGAAACTTTGCTAAAGTCATAGGCCACACCCTTTAAATTTATCTATATAACATACTTCAACGAAAAGAAGCTGGAAAAAAAGTTACGAGGGATTGTAAAATTAAATTCCGAATAACTCAAAAAGTATACACTTTTTTGTGGATATTGTATATGGTTCTTTAAAAGTTTATGGAATTTCCTAAAAAAACAAAAAAAATGTGTTAAAATCAGACAATTAGGAGGAAGTATATGGTCTCTAGTTTTTTTCCCAGAAGAGGCAAAAATTTGTATAAATTTAAAACATATTTTTTTAATTGTTGAGACTAAAAAAACTTTTTTTCTACAGATATTTAATAAAGTATCTTACCTTAGAACATCTTTCATAAGAAAAAGTACCTAAATTTATACCTTCATTCTCAGTTCTATATTTCAACACTGCAATCACCACCTCCGGAATCAACTTACTCACTGTCTGCGTAGATAACTTTTTCAACTAAAAATATCACTAAATTGACATTACTCAAAAATGTTGAAATTAGAGTTAGTCATTCTGTGGTTTATAAAAGCAAAGACAGTTGTGTGGTTTATAAAAGCAGATGGAGTGACTAGATTTTTATTGCCTACCGTCGATATATTAAATAGACATTTTGTAATTATAATGGTCTTAATGACTTGTTATCTGTAAGCTTTAAGCTTTAGCTCCATTTAAAATGCACTTCAAAACATTTTATAATAGCCCAGCATTGCCAGAAAATAATTTCTATTCAAAGTAGAGCGGTAAGTGAAAGTTGTGTGTTGTGCACACCAGATTTTTTTTTCTTTTTGGTTAAATTTGTTCTTGTTGAACATTTTCTCTTCAGACACCACACAAAAATAAATAATTCTTCAAGGTAAAATGATAAATCAATCAATAAATCAATCGATCAGAAAGCTAAATTTTTATCAAGAAACGTTTTTGTTTATTTTAAGGGTTTGTTGGGGCCTGAATTGATTTATTCAGAAATATATTTCTATTAATGCTTGAACAAAGGTTTTGCTAATTATACAGTGCCATGATAAAAACCTCTGATTGTTTTAAACTGTTATTTTTAGAAAATATTCCAATTGTTTTAAAAATTGTATTCAATGAATTCAATTACAAACTACTCTGGGAATTGTGTCACACTCCAATATTTCAGAATTTCAATTCCCTCATATTTTCTAGTTTCTAATTTATTGTAAAAAGATATTTATTTGTATAGTTAAAATTTTAATTTCTGTTCTTTTTATTAATCAGCTAATTTTTATTCCTTCTTATTTTATTGGTTTATAATTCATCTTTCTAGGCATGTGCTTATATCTTACATCTTTGCGTCAGAAAGCACCTGAAAAGTTGTACGCTGGCCCTGGATGTATTGGAAATGTTCTAGTTCATCCTACTGCTCGAATAGGTTCTGGGTGTTCGATCGGACCGAATGTAACCCTTGGTCCTGGGGTTGTCGTTGAAGATGGTGTTTGTATAAAAAGGTGCACCATTTTGGAAAATGCTATTATCAAGTCTCATTCATGGCTTTCTGGGTGTATTGTTGGATGGAAATCTGTTGTGGGACAATGGGTTCGAATGGAGAATACTACCGTTCTTGGAGAAAATGTAAATATAAAAGACGAACTCTATGTCAATGGAGGTCAAGTACTTCCTCATAAGAGCATTGCTAAGTCTGTGCAAGATCCACAGATTATAATGTAATATAGCCTTTTTACATCAAACGAAAGTTATCAAAATTCCATGAAAATTTACAAAAAAATTTAAATTTATTTTTTTTAAAAATGCCTTTTATAAATTTATAAAGTAATCTAATTTAGGCATGTTTTGTTTATAAAATTCTATTATCAAATATAATTAAGTGTTCCGCATTAACAAAAATTGATTTTGTTTATATCCATCCTTATTATAATTTTTTAACACATATCTCAGAGGCAATGAGGTCTTGCCGAATTTCAAGATAAATTTCAAGGTTGTTATTGTTACTGATATTAAAATTTTACTGTTTTGTAATTTTAAATTGTATTACAGAATTCAACGAAGGTCAATGGTTTTAAATATCATACAATATATAAATAAAAAGGACCTAAGGAAACTTGCATTAAATTATAGTTTTTACAAGTTAACTGTTAAATACAAAATACATATATACTTTAATTTAAATTTGTCTTAATTCATTCCAAACATTAGTGACATTGTACATAAGACAAATTTATATTATTTGAAATTGTTTATACTTATGTTATTCTATATATGGTTATATTAATTTTATTTTTATTTGATATTATAATGTCATACTATTATAAATATACTTTTTAGTTTAATATAAAGTAATACAATCATCATTTGAGCTTGATAGAATGAAAGTGGCATTGTCCAGTTTAGACAGGTTCAGAAATTGAATGTTCTGTATACAATACTGAATCTGTTCCCCAGAGATAAAGAACACCATGTCCATTTTTTTTTTGTTTATTAAATAATTTAGTAACTAAGAAACAAATTTTAATAGCTCAAAGTTGTGGAACCTTTGTTTCCTGAACAAATAAAAAAATGGATATTCTGTTGTTTACCTCCGGGATTCAGAAATATATATATTACACAACAGTTATTTATTTTAATTTTTAAAAAATCTACATAATTATTTTTAAAAAAAAGAAAATTAGGTAGTTATCCAATACATCACTTATATTCAAAGGAAATTAAAAAAAACTAAAAGGAAATCATGATCTATTTTTAAAGTGATATTCTAAAATACATTTAAAAATATATTCATAATATCCGAAAAGATTGTTATTAAAGAGCGAATAAAGGCTAAATGGGAACAGCAATCTTTTTTTTTTAATCTTGTAATTGTTAAGTCTTGGAGTGAACTTTAAAGCTACATTTACTTGTGACTTAGCATCTTGCACTATTTTTTTAAAATATAATTGTATTCGTTGTTCTATAGCCAATCTAAACTTAAAAATTTGCCCAATGACTACAAAATATAATTTTTTTATCAGTTTCATGTTGAATTATTTTTCTTTTAATATTTATCAATATTAGTAGATTTTAAAATCAAATGATATAAACAGAGTAGAATATTTATTAAAATCTGATATATTTCATAATATATATGTTTGTACAGAAAAAAAGTATATGTTTTTTGTTAGTTTGTATATAACAAGCATTTTTTTTTTTCCTTTTAAAGTTTAGTTATTGAACATTCCTTATTTTTGTGATTGGTTCATTGGTCCTAATGGTAACGAGACCATGAGAACATATGTCTTTCTCATTAAAAGTGAACATCGTGCGAGTGGACATGCTGGTTATTTCAATATTTTGTCTTATGAAAAATAAATAATCTCAATGTGATTTTATGTATCCATTGAAAATTTGTATGTGTATATTTTCAGTTTGTACTCTTTCATTCATTTGCATTAAGTGCTATTTAGTACAGAATTATTTTAAGAGAATGAAATTCTCTTGAATTATTTCACAATAATAATGGTTATTACAATATAAGAAACAAAAGTTAATGATATTTATATCAATCATCTTTGTGACTTTTCACTTTACTCATGCATTATCTTAACGACTTGATTTGTTTTTAATGTTTTTTTAGTGATATATCCTCTTGACTATCTGTTACTTAACTTACTAATGTTTACTGCATATTTTCTAAACATTTTTTATTGAACTGTTAAAGTTTTTAAATGTTTGATTCAAGATCGTAATTAATACTTATTAATTGTGGAAATTCATTGAAATAAGATATTTTTTAAAGTGTTTATTATGTCTTGATCTCTTAGAAATGGTGATGTAAATTTTTGTTTAAATAGTAGCTGATATGAAAAAAAGATAATGGACATGTTTTGGTATTTTTGTTTAAATGAGCTTCATGTTTCTTTTCCTTGTGTTTTTCTCCTTTTATTGTGGTTTAAGAAAAAAATGAGTATCCAACTATGTTTCAATGTATTTAAGTCAACAGATTATACATAAAACAATCAAAAATAAATAATTGAATGTGGATGAAAATTATATTTATTGATACAGAACTGTATTGTTTATGCTTCCATAGCCGATGCACAATTAATTAATTCATGGAAGACTGATTTTTAGTTATTTGATATTTTTATTTCATTGATATAATCGAATTTTGTTTCTGTGGTGCAATTATTCTACCAAATATGTTTTTATTTTTTACAATATGTATAAAATATATAGAATGATTTATGCTTTTTGATTTTAATATTATTAATCATTGTTTGAATTGTTATTATTAGATATTATGTAGATTATTTTTAAAGTAAACAAAATTTTTATCTAAGAATTGAATATAATGTCGGTAAAATGAACAAGATACTAGGTGCACAGATAAACTTTTTTGTTACCTACCTACACCTGAACCATATCTGCTCTTCAGAACTGACAAATTATGAAATTATCAATAGTTATTGATAATTTCACAATTTTGACAAAACTGATGCATAGATTTAGCTCAGGCATTCGTAGATAAAAAGAAATTTGATCTTCACAAGAATTTCACTTGGTTACTTTCTCCAACCCAATGATAAATTGATGTAATTTAATTATTAGATACTTAATGATTAATATTAGAGTATCATGATTATTATTGTACATTTGCAATTTTTATATTAATAGCATAATCATTTTTGATGTATTGTTGTTATCTTAATAAACATTTTGGAATGTTTAGATGTAAATTTTTTCTACTACACATTTTTTCACTTCCTGCATGAATAAACAGTTTGCCTGTATTCAATAATAAGAATGCAAAAACAACTTTTTTATTATACTGATTTTATAAATAATAATTCTTGTATTGAAAGAGTGACTTAGTCTCTTCCTGTATTTATGATTATTACCCCTTTGATAGCATAGCTCAATAATCGTTCAAATATTTTATAAAAATTCAATTATTGTTCGATAAGAAAGAAGAGCTTAGTTGTAATAATCAACTTGAACCTCAACTCTTCAATTAGCTACTATTTTAAAAGTATTATTTACAATTTAAACAGCCTTGGATGTTAAGACTCATGTAGTGACTGATGAAGCTCTTCTGTTGTCAGACCTAAACAGCTACATAGTTCTACCAATACAAAGCGAGTAGAGCCTAATTCTAATTTTGTTTCTAACTGTAATGTAAGTATTCTTGGTTTGAAGGAACTACTGTTACTTCCTAATAGAATTAAAAGGATAAATAAAATATAGCCATATATCTAATTTAACTTTTTATTACAAATATAAAATGGCAAATAATAAATTTTATAATATTACTGCATAACTTTTGTCAGCACTTTTCTGGTACTGGATTAACAAAGTATATTTCTTTATGAATCCTAGTTTTAACAGCTATCAAAAACATGCAATGAAATAAGTGAAGGTTTTCTTAAATTAGAAAATATATTTTAAAAAATAAAAACAAATCAAGAATTTTAACAAGATTTGAAGTAAAATAAATATATATGATTTATTTAATTCAGGAAGAGCTCAAATACATATAGATACCTCTATAAAAATATTTTGTTTTCTTAACCTACAGCAAAAGGAACCTATTGAATAGGGGATGTTTATTTTAAAATATTGTCTTAATAGTTTAATTGTGAATTAATTCATGCTTGATGAGTTCAAAAAGATAACTGTTGTTTGATTATGAGGTTTTTTATGCAATACTTCCTTTTGCTCTCTAATATACAATAGTAGTAAAGCTTTAAATTTTTTTCCTAAATTAAAAATAGAAATAAATTTCCAAAAGGCATCTAAGCACATACCTTCAACTTAAATAGAACTATCGCTTAGCAGTCTATCATTTTATGAATTCATACACAACATTAATTCTATAAATCAAAAAAAGAAATAGATAATATGTTTCTATTTAAAACATGAAAGCAGTTCTTGAGTGATAGATATTGCCCATTGAATAAGTGCAACAACTAAATATGCTTACTAAATTTAAATAATACATTTATCAAATATCAACAAAATTATGTTTTCTTCTTTCTTCTCCTTATGAAATCAGTGCGATCAGTAGATTTTTGAAATCAGATCCACAATCATTCTATTGAAAAATAATTGCAAAAAAAAATCAATTAGTTATTAATACAACAACTACAATCCAAAACAAGTAAATGCAAATGAAATAATTTCAAATGACTCATATTAAAAGTATGCTATGCGAATGTTAAGTTTTTAAAGAATGTTCATTTTACAATTTTAGGTGATGTTAAGTTAAGCAGGGTTTCATAAAAGCTACGTTATTTTCATATAAGAGTTTCATATAAGCTTATTACATAATTACAAACACATTACAATATGAAACAAAAATTCTACAACATACAACTAATAAAATATAATGGTATCAATTTATTGGCTTTGGTAATAGTATTCCAAACGAAGGTATTAATTCAATATTGTTACTTTCTCTGCTAGCTGAGAATAAATAAGGAATAGTACCAATAGAATTTGAATTTGAAAGACTGCTCATAATAAAAAATAAAAAAATCTCTTTACTCCACACTTGAGTATATAAATTATGTCTTTCTCTCTCACAGATCAGTATAAATTTCCTATTCATTGGGTTGTTGTGGAGAGAGTTTCTACTCATTCAACATCCATATCACTAATATATAGATCCTTAGAACTTCTGAATTGATATCAGTGATATGTTTAAAATGAAGGAGGTTACTATTGGCCACTTTTGCCATTTTTCTTGCTACATTGAAGGCTGTGCACAATTTTTTAACTATACCATCTCCATATTTAATATGATGTAATTGAATAATTGCATAATTGAATCCTGAAATGATTTCTGGTTTTACTATTCCTGCATCAACTTCAATCATATTTAGGAAATCGAAAATACTTTATGATGTGACTTATTCAGTAGGTTAAAATGTCTTCCTCTAATATCAATAGTGCACAGGGAAAATTTGAATCCTACCAGTGTGTAAATGGTAGGGAATTAGGAAGGATAGCTACTCATTCTAGGGAAACACTACTCTTTGGATCACAAAAAAATAGTTATTTTACCTAACAGATTAGTAATGCTTGACTGAAGGTAAAGAAATATACTACATAAACAATAATAACTAATATCTCTACACAAAAACTTGGTTGAAAAAAATATTCAAAATCCTACTTTTTAACTGATGTAAGTACAATCTAAGTTCGCTAATCCAAACCATTCTATAACACAAAAGGCCCCAAGGTTTTGAAAGAAGGGGAAAAGTAAAATTTAAGTTGGTTAAAAAATGTCATATCTAAAAAAATAATTTTTTACATTTAATAAAAAAATTATAAAAAGCAAGTAGGAGGGTTAGTTGAAATTACTTTAAAAAATAATTGTGAATTTGAACTCATTTTATCTGACTAAAAATTTATTTTTCAAGTTATAGAATAATATTTTTAAATTTTTCTATTGAGAACTTAAATGAATTTCGAAAATTTAATCTTCGATGCAAAATTTTCCGAGGAACATATTTATAATTAGATCTTCAACACACTTCACTTTTGATATTACTTTTTTGCAACTACTACTTCCCTCAAGATTCTAACCATTTTTAAATTTCCTTCAGTGTTAAAATCTGACTTCTATGCTAAAAATTTAAAAATCTGAATTTAAACTATGCGTACAAGAAAAAAGAAAATATCTCACTGCTTTATTCAGAAATGATTTCAAAATAAATAAAAAAAATTTTTTTTTTATGTAAACTTTTATTTTTTTCCTTTAGTAAGCCACATTTTTCATATTTATAAACGCTTGATTTTAAATAGGTAGTTCAGATTAGCAAGAGTGTACTATAGTTAAAACAGCTTTTTGTTGATTATGCTATTGTGAAAATATTAATTACACCATTAAAAAATATGTTCATTAAATACTAAGGTGATGTGAGACATAATTTATAAAACAGAGATTTAATAAGATATTAAGAAAGTCAACACACAGAACTACTCAACGGAAACTAAATTGTTTTAAGATTTAACTATAGAAAATAGAAATAAGAAGTGTAATCTCTACATGAGGATAGAAGTGATTGGCACCAGGAGCACTACATGCTCTAAGTCTCAATACTTATAATTACAACTATTAACACAATGAACATAAATTATGTTAAAACTGCATTTGATGTTATTTTTGCTGTATTATCAGATTTAAATATGTTATATTTACCATTTATAACTTATTAATAAAACGTGACCAGTTAAAAATATTCTTTTTATTGATATTAAATAATGTTCACATATCTTAAGTTTCCTTAATATTATCCTAATGTCTCAATATTATGATCATGAATTCACTACAGTGTATCAACTTATTTAAAAACATTGATAAAATTATGATACATATCCCCACATATATTATTACAGTAATGCTCGAAATTGGTTTTGTACCAAATATAAGCTTCTGTTATACTCAAACACCATGAATGGGGTACCATTGGATTCAGAATTTCAAGGGAGTTAGAGGATATTTTGTTTTGTTTTGTGGGGGTTAGACTCCGCTTTTGTTTTTCTTTCTAAAATAAATAACATTGATACTCATATGATACAAATAACCACCCTAAAACCTTGGTCATTCAAGGTTCAAGAATACGTTCAAGTGAGGTAGTCACCTGTCTTAGAATTAGGATTGGGAAACAATTCAATGTGAGTCATCACTTAGATTATTTAAGAAGTAGGGTGACCCGAGCCTTTTGGGGCCAAGGATATCCAGCAACTATGGCCATTTATAAAGGAGTGGTTGTTGGTATCGTAAGATACAAATACCGTGCCTGGCAGTGGAATCTCTCGCACTGTCAGAAGAGCAGGATGGTGAAGATCCAGCAGTGACAAGTTATAACAAATATTGATTGAAAAATTTGTTAGTTTTTTTTTCAACAATAAACAATATTTAGTTACTAATTAATGAATAGCTCTGTGTGTACTTAAAATATTACTAAAAGTTGAGACAGCTAATAAAAATATTCATGTTATTTTCAAATATGATGTTAGTAAGGATGAAAGCTCAAGTTTTTATTTACAAATTGCTGAAGAAACAAAAATGCCACCATAGTATTTAATTCAGAAATTTAAGTTAGTTAAAAGAGATAATTATATCATTAAAACAAAAAAAATTAATGGAAAAAAAGCTAACTTTTTGGCAAGACATGCTCATGCAAGGTGCTGATTACGACACCAATGCCAGCAAAAGCCGTTTGTAGTCTCCAGAAGTATCTCCCTAAAAAAAACCAATTAAAATAAATATGAAACCCAAATTAATGCAATAAGCTTAACTAATTGTGCTCAAGACTCAGTCCAGTGATAATTTTTAAAATTTACATTAAACAAAAATAAGATTTAATTAAAAAAAATGAAGCTTTTGAAATTATTTTTGTTAAATATGATATTTCTTAAAAAGTAATTTATCAAAAAAGCTAATATGATTAAAGAGAAGTCAAACTTACAGCAATGCGATCAGCTAAAGGAGTTTCATACAAAGCCTGGTATTCTTCTTTTATTTCAGCAAGGTCAATTTCAGAACGCCCAACGACTATTCTAATTAATGAACGGTCTTTGGTTCCCATTCCTGCCATGCTATCCTCTAACCTTTCAGCATAGTAGCGAGACTTGTTTCTGACACTTTTCACTGTAATTGTTCATCAAATAAATTTATGATAAGAGAAATTTATCACGGAGAATATTAACCATTTTTACCAATAGATAGGTATCCATCCTCCAGTGCTCCAGAAGTTTCACTTTTAATAGCTTCCTCGATTGGATTACCAGTCAAGTTTTCATATTCCTGAAAAACTCTGCGAAGGTATGGGTAAGATTTGGAGACAAGAACCGCATTGAAAGTTGACTCTTCAGTGCCCCATTGAGCTTCTCCTGAGAAGATAAATATAGGAATAATTTTATTTTTTATTTATCAGCAGAAAGTAAGAAGGACTAATGAATGATGTTTAATTAACTCTTAATATTATCTACAGAAAATATTCTATTTCTTCTACATTTTCTTAATTCAAATCAATGTATAAAAGACATATTATATATAGGAATATTATTCATTTCTCTTAGATTAACTAACTAAATTCCTTTTAAAAAGGAATTGATCTTAAATTTTCTTATTTTTATTTCTAATAAATCCAGTTAAGGAAGAAATTATTGATCAATCAATCGATTTTTATAATAACTATAACTATAATATAAAGGAAGCTTTACCAGCATCAATAAGAGCTTGAGCATCAGCGACTGCTGCGTCACCATCGACATCCAGATCTTCATCGCGGTTAGCCTATACAGGATAAAATGAGAATTAATTAATTTTTAAGGCCATTTTCACAACTGCCCTGGGGTGGCAACTGTAGTATATTATTTTGCCCTCAAGGACCCCCTTAATACAAGTAATCAGAAAACCTATATATAGTAAGGAATGTTAATAAAATAACATAAAAATAATATAAGGAAACAAATAATAATAATATGAGAAAGTGCAATGCCCAATTTTCGTATACTCATAAACCTTTCAGCTCCTACTTTAGCTAAAAAACAGTAACAATATGAGGTTGGAAAGGATTCTAAAGTATGGCTGAGAAGCCTGGGCTACCACCAAGGCAAATGAATGAAAACTTCTAATGTTTGAGCGGAGGATCCTCAGGAAAATCTTTGGGCCTGTTGAAGAGAGGAATGCCTGGTGCAGCAGAAAAAAAATCAGGTTCTTCAGGAACTCTACAACTAGGTGCACATGGTTAAGTTTATTAAGATTCGAAGATTGTGCTGAGCTGGCCATGTCTCTCGAATGGATCATTCTAGGATTACAAAAATACTATTGCTAGAGGAACTAAATAAGATAAGAAGAGTAGGAAAAACAAGGTAAGATGGCTGGATGGAGTGTATGTGGACTCAAGAGACCTCACATGAATCCGGATACGGAGAGTTGTATCATAAAACCACTAACTGGCGGAGGCTTTTAGAGGTGGCCCAGACCCAGTAATAGGTTGTTGTGCCATATATAATGATGAAGAAAGAATTCTGAATCGGTCACTACAGACTTAAAAGTTAACTTTTTTATTTTAGATTAACAGATATCTAGATGGATGGTTGGAAAGATAAGATAGAAAACTACCAAATTATAGGTATACATAAATCTGCCTTTTAGTATCTTTTGATTATATTAAAATCATAAATTTTGCAAAGCAAAGAAGTAACAAAGTCGAAAGAGGTTTCCAAGTATAATTAGTTTATCATATGAATGATCAATTAAGAAGGTAAAATCTAAAATATACATAATTGTAAAAAAAATAGCTTTTTCCTAGCAGTTTTTTCTTAGTTTGGAAATATAGATAAAATGAACTAATAAAACTTAAACTTTTACTTGATCAAGTAAGTATTATAGAATAATACTAACCTGACAAAGAGAAACCAGGAGCTTTCTAAAACTGCCTGATGTATCTGACTTGATGTCATCTTCCATTGTAGAATCATATACTATGACAAAGAAAACAGATAAAATTACTTTTCTAAAGGTTAGCGAATTCAGGTCAATGATAAAAATACAAAATATTTAATACACTGAATAAGGTTGCATAGGATCTCATACATACGTTTTTGATAAGCAGCTTGAATAGCACGAATTCCATAATTACTAAGAGTACAAAGTACCTCAACAAGTGCTTCTTCATCAGTACCAATTCCTGTATAAAAGAAACATAGCGTTAATGAACAGGCATTACACTAAATTAAATTAAAATCCTTCTTAAACATTACAAAAAAAGTATGGCTTTGTTGATAATGTTTTACTATAACTCCTTTATTTTATTCTGTTTTTTATTTTGCTATCTTTTAATTTATTTATTTTTATCTTTTTTTTTTTCTGTAAATAAGCAAAACATAAATTGTATGAAAGATAATACATAATTGAAAGTTGTTGAAAATGATTTAATATATTAATGTAACAGTATAAAAGGCAAGCTAATCTAGTGAATAAATGAAGTAGAGTATAATATTTAAAAAAAAGTTGATATTTCTCATACCTTAGAGTTAAATAAAAAAAACAAAAAAACAATAGAGACCTGCAATGGCATCATGAACTTCTCTAGCATAAAAATCAGGTAAGGATGTCATGAGGGAGACTATAGCATCTTCAAAATTTCCACCTAATTCACTCTTCAGGTTGTCAATAAGGTCCTAAACAAAAACGAAATAGCCACTTTAAGTAATAAGAATAGAATAATAAATTGAAATAAAATAAATTATGTTTGCCTTACTTCTCCATAAAGTGTTTTGTAGGTGTCAGCAATTTCAAGTCTTTGTTCTATCGACCTATGAGCCAGGATGTCAATGATGGCTTGTTCATCAGTTCCCAAACCCTTCATGGAGGCCTTCAATGCCTCGCTATCAGCATTTGCATCAAATCCATCAGCTGGGAACACTGTTGCTCGTGACTAAAAAATATAATTTGATTTATAATAATGCCATTAAAGTTATCTGAAGAAATCATAATAAAAGTTATAGATATAAATAATGTCATAATACAGAGAATGAAAAATGCAGTGAAAGCTAAAAAATAGTAAGCTAGTAAGGATTTTTTCACAATTAGCTTAACATTTTTTCACAATTATCTTTTCTTGTATTTAAATTTACCAAGCCATAATATACAAAACAGTTAAAACTGAGAAATTTTGCTGGGATTTAATAATTAAGTTAGTTAAAATGTAATAATTTCTAATTTTAATTTAATTTTTACATTAGTAAACATTTTTAAGGAAGTGGATAATAGGTAATGTACTGGACTCCTAACTCCTCTCAGGTTCAAGTCTAGATGGAGCAGAAAAATAATTTCCTGTTGTACAAATTGGCTCAGCTTAGGAAACTCCATGTGTAGTCTCTTTTTGGATGACAAACAGATTTTTCTGAGGCTCTTACTTTTTGTTAATAGTAAAGCATTTTACAAGACCATTTAATTTCAGTATTAAATCACCATGTGTAGTATTTTATTTTAAATATGTACAATTTATTTGAAAATAATTCATTAAAATAAAAACGTAATGAAAGTAAACAAATAAATAGAAACTTCCAGGAGGCTCTGATGGCCCAATGGTATTGAGGGGTTGTCAGCATTGACATTCTTGAGTCTAGGGCACAGGCGGATCTAGGGGGGGGGAGAGGGGGGAGGGGAAGGGGCTTTCGGGCTAATGCCCTCCCCCCCAAAATGGTAAAATATAACCATGTTTTATGGAAAAAAATATTTAAAAATTATCTCTTAAAGTATAATTATTCGTGTAATTACATTTAAAAGGGCTTTAGGAATCACTTAAATACCAGTTCATATTGGTAGTTTGTTTCTTTCTTATTTACCAAAGTAATTATTGTTATTTTTATGAAAAAATAAGTTTTCGGGCTGAAGCCCCCCAAAATTAAATCCTGGATCCGCTAGTGGTCTAGGGACATCATTTGAAGGGGGCATTGGTAGGTTGCAATTTACTTCATGGTGGAACCCATAGAATGATTTTCAACCTTCCAGTGTGCCAGAAATGGTGAGGTAGGGGGTTAAAAAAAAAAAAAAAACTTTCATGAATGGGAGAGGGTATACCTAATGTATTGATGTAAATATGTACCTTTTTAGAATAGATAGATGAGGTTAAAACTGAATCCTTACAAAGTGAATAGAAATTTCAGAAGAAGATAAAATATAAAAAAATTGAAATGGGAAGAAAATAATACAGAATTGTCTAGAACCTACTAGGCTGTTATGACTATGTAAAAGATGACCGCCATTTCAATCAGGTTGTCTTTAGTTAGTTATCAGAATGCTAAGAAATGTTAATTAAATAAGATATGTAAATTTTGAAACTTGTTCATGAAGGAACTAAAAAAGGAAACAACAAGGTAAACAAAATTAATGTTAGCCATAAATTTAATTATATTGTACCTTTTTTAAAAATTAATTGTTTTAATAGCATTGTAATTATTTGATTTGGAGCCAAAAAGGAATAAACTTGTTTTAAATGGAAACAATTACTTTAAAATATATTTTAGTAGAGAGCGAAGTTGATAAATTAAATTATTGATTGAAGTTTTGATTCGACAGAACTGTATTGAAAAGTATATTAATAATTGATTGGATAGATCGAGATTAATGTTAAATATTCTATGGCAGAGAAGGCCAAATCTCAGTAGTGCTAACACAAGTAAACAATAGGGATTGATCCACGTCTTTTATATCACGCAAACAGTACTATGGAGGTCGAAGGTGAATAAGTTATGGTGGTTTAGTCAAAGGAAAAGACAGATATATCGATATGAGAATTATAAAATAATATCACTTGTAAAGTGACATTTTTTACGAAACTCTACATCAGTGATTGTTCAATTAATCCGTATAAATTTTATGTATAAAGCGTTAGATTATATGAACGCGCTATTTCAGCAGCTAGGTGCCTTATTAAATATTATCTTAGGGAAGGGCTTTTTTTTTTGGTTTACACATCTGATCAATGGAGCTTATCATATTTTCATTTGGATTAATATTTCTTCATAGCTGTAGGAGTGAGACTAAATAAAAACTATATAAAATTATTTCAATTGGTAGATTGAAAATAGAATTAATATCAATAAGTAAGTGCCTTCAGTTGACCGCCTAATGAATGGCAAATTGACTCTTGAGTGTGAACTCATTAGAGTGCTACCAATGTGTAGTTTCTCTACAAGTGTTCTCATGCCATTCTATTTCTTTGTATCATATTTACTAGATGTATATTTATACTATTGTAAATTTCATGAAAAAAAGAACTATTTGAGAGATTTAAGGATTAGTTTTGGAACATTATAATAATAACATAATCGAGAGAAATATAGAAAGATGAACATTAAATAAAAAAAATTGGAAAGAAGTAAAAAACTACTGGTTCCTTGCAGTAAGGAGAGAGTGATGCGATGGGAAAAGAATCCAGTGAATCCAGCGGCAGTCATTTCCTGCAATTTAGAGAACCAAGGACGCTCGCGGAATCCTTTGTTCGATCTGGGTGAAGGTGGCTCCCATAGTATTTAGAAGGCTCTGCCGACCCAAGGAAGCTATTAGTTCCACCTCTAGGACGTCCGATCGCCATTTCGATTTAATGGTCTTTGCCAGTTTGTCTAATGTGGTTCCGGCGAACCATGTGAAAATATATTGGTTGGGAGTTAAACAACTAGTAATTAACAATAATTATAGTAATTCCTCATTTTAATAGGAAAGGGAAACGAAATGAGAAATTAATTAAGAAAACTGAGTCAGTGTCTCATGATATTGGACAAGGATAAGTGGGACTTTTATTATTCGAGGCTAACAGGGCGTTTGTAGTAGAGCTGGTGGAGATCTTTATTTTTAGAATTAGTTGAGAGCCATTCACTCATTTTGATGCTCGTTCTTTAAGACCCAGTAATATATGAAATTAATTTTTTTTGTGATACAGATTTCGGCTTAACTACTTGCTCACTGGTCAAAGTCTAGTTTCCTCGACACATTTATAATTCGTAACCGGCTTGTCTAGTAAGACTGTAGGAAAGTTTAGGGAATCTATAAAAATGGTCTAATATAAATTTTTATCAAATTCCATTTTACAAATTATGCTTTCACAAACTTATTTTTCTTGAAATGCCTATAGATAAAAATGGCTGATATGGCTCAAAGTTTGATAAAGTTGAGGAATAGTAAACTAAGAGAAAATAAACCGGTCTTTGTATCTTCAAATTAATTCTCAAAGTTTTTTTTAGTTCATATTAGTTCATAAAAAAAAAAAAAAATGATATAGCTATAATTTTGAAAATTATCTTCTCCTCCAATGTTAAGAAATAAGTAAAACCACAAGAAAATGAGGAAAAAAGCTATGTAGGAAATAAACATTTACTGGCGCTTAAATAAAAAATTACATGGTGGATAATATAGTTAATAGTTATTGTGATAATTAAGATTCATACAAAACGAAAAAAAATCATAAAAATCGGATTATTATTAGCAAAGATACATCCTAATAGGCTTTGTAAATATGTTTTGATTTATTTTTAAAATTAAACATTTTTAATTAAAAAAAAACATAAAAATAATATAATCCCTGTCATTGAAAAATTATCGCATTTACTTATTTCCACATTATATAGCCATCAGGTGCTTGACCAATATGACCTATAAAATATTCACCAATAAGAATTATGCGGGCCATTGATTAAATTAATTGTTCGTTGAGCCAGTATTTCACTTAATCCGTTCCTATCAAAATTTCAAAGCAGAGCGCGACTCGATGAAAATTTTCTGTATCACTAAGACTCATGGAACTATTAAATTTTTGCCATTATTCAAATCAATTTCAGATTGAACTCAACTCAACAGGTTTAGGTAACTATTTTACAGAGGCTCAAACCTCAGAGTCGATTCACGACTGACGAAACAGACAAAGAAAATCGACTAAAATTTGTAGCTAATAAATTAATGGATACTGGAAAACGAATTGATTCTGAAGATTTAGAGAAACGGGAAAGAAAATTTACTTTTTTTGCTAATTTAATGTTTTAAGTTTAAAGAAAAAAAATGGTAAATCTAGACGAATGGAATAAAAAAAAAAAACGGGATGGGAACTTTGCATTCCGCTAAATGATTCAACAGGCCTGTGGTGCCCTTTACCCAGGAGAAGGTCAGCTGTATTTCAAAGGCCACATCATTTAGATGACGCGCTGTACTTTAACTAGGTATAAATAGTACGATTTTATATATTTATTAACTAGTATAAATTGAAATAATCTACACATTATAAACATAATAATCTACATGACATATGGCGCCCTAGGTTAGTGCGCAATTCTTCCAAAAAATGTTTAAAGATTACGAGTTCGAATCCCAGCGTCGGTAGGACTTTTAATTCTGGCATTAAATGTTGGGACAAACATGCCCGCATTGCGTCCGAGCCGCATCACGGCCATATGAAGTACACTCCTCTCAGGAGTCCCGCTCTTCTCAATAGGGTTTTATTTTTTTACATCTAAATTCACAATAAAATAAAACATAGCTAACGTTATATATATTATATAGTGATTATGTAATGGTTGTGACGTTTGAGTGTGTTAAATCGTAAACGTTAACATTTCCCAATCTAGCGACGCAGGTTTGAATCCGGCCTGGGAGAGTTGAAATTTTTTTCGTCACGGATCACACGGAATGAATGGTGACCTTTCTATTTTGGTTAGAATAGGTTTGGTTGTTTCTCTAAAACAACTCACTCGTAGGCTATAAATGATGAGGTAGGAGGTTATCAAAAAGAAAAACTTCTTATAGGTTATTGAATTATCTTTTTACTAAAATGTATTTATTTTAAGTAAGACAAAACACACTTTATTTTGCAATATCATATAATTATTGTTCATGAGCTTTCGATGCTTAACACCATATTCATCTTTACAATGTTCGTACAATCCATTTTTGGATTTCGTTCTTAGTATAAATTTATTAAAACTCTCAACAGAGTAAGACTGTAAACTGGAAAGGTTTACAGCAGAGGTCCTCTCTCCTCCTATATTGGAAAAGCCAAAATAAATTTTTTTTTTATAAATTTAAACAGCAATATATAATGGTTGATAAAATTTATAATAAGAAAAACATATAAAAATGGATTAAAAGAACATTGTAAAGATGAAAATGGAGCAGAGCACTGAAAGTTCCTAAACATAAATATACTGACAGGAAAAAAATTCCACCCACTTATTTTTCCATGTTTTCATCTAAAAATATTTCTGTAAAGTTGTATTTGTATATAATACATGGTGTTTGTAGATAATACTTAGTATTTATGGAATTTTATAATAATTTTTACCTTTAATAATCAAAATGTGATTGGGTAAGAAAGATTAGAGAAAAAAAAATTGAAAAATGAACCATTATTATTCTAAAAGAAATTAATTACATCGTCGTTTAGTAGCGCATGTTTCCTCTTCTTGCCTTCACTACTTCTTGAAGACGCCTCGGCATACTTTCCACCAGTCGGGAAATGTCCCTTTGCTGGAGGATAGCCCATTCCTTCCGAAGAGCCCTTTCAAGGTCCTGCAGTGTATCAGGAAGTGTTGCACGCTCTCTTATTCGTCTTCCGAGATTAGCCCATAAATTTTCAATGGGGTTCAGATCTGGAGAACGTGCTGGCCAGGCTAAAACCTCAATATTGTTCTGTTGAAGGAACGTCTGCACTATGCGGGCGACATGTGGGCGTGCATTATCGTGCATTAGAATAGAACGATCGCCGATTTCTTTGAGGATAGGCAACACATGAAGTTCCCTCGGAATAGAAAAAGGTTACCTTACTCGAAAAGGAAATTGGAGTGCCTTCCGGTCATTGCTGGAGGGAAAACTGGTCGACGAAGACTGGGATGAGGCGGAAACGGAGCAAACAGATGATCTGGATTACCGAGTATCCAGGATCACTGATGTCATCCGCGATACCGCTGAAGAATCCCTTCAGCACCGGAAGGCGAGAGCTCGACCTGTCCCATGGTGGACGCCTGCCTTAACCACTATGAAGAGAGAACTCTACAAGGCACGGCGTTCATACCAGAAGTGTACTTGCGAAGAGAGGCGCATTACACTTCGTGATGAGTACAAGTCTAAAGCCAGGGCATACCGAAACGAGGTGCGGTTAAGAAAGCGGAAGTCTTGGGACGAATTCATTGTTCAAGAGTCATCTAAGAATCCCTGGGGTGTACCTTACAGAGTGGCCCTTGGTAAGTTTGCTCCACAGCAAGTGATTGCAGCTTTGAGGCGCGGATGTTCCCAGGCAACCACTCTGGAAGAGACTGCAAAGATGTTCCTAGCTGAGACCTACCCCAGAGATGATTCGTCCCAGGATAATGAAGGGGAAATATTTATAAGACGCACTACGGTATGCCCACCTGGTACGGACTTGTGCCCACCGTGGGACATATGGGATCTACGTGCTGCTGTGGATAGGCAAAAGACTGGACGTGCACCTGGGTTAGACTCCATTGACGCAGCAATCCTCAGGAACAGTATCCCCTATATTGAACAGAGACTGTTGACATTATTCAATGATTGTCTAGACAGGGGATACTTTCCTAAGAGTTGGAAAATTGCTGATGTTAGACTCCTCTACAAGGGAGGAGGCAAGGACAAGCAATTAGCCAAATCTTATAGGCCTATATGCCTCCTCCCTATCATGAGTAAATTATTGGAGACCCTGTTGATGATGAGTCTACGACCAGTCTTCTCTAGGGCTAGCCATCCACGGCAGTACGGATCCACTAAAGGCAGGGGAACCGCAGATGCCCTGCTGAGAGTGCGCCGTGACGTTGAAGAGAAGGCGGAGAAGTATGTCATGCTTATCCTGTTCGACATATCTTCCGCCTTTGATAGCGTCTGGTGGCCGAGCGTACTCCAGCAGTTGCAGAAGTATGAGGCTCCCAGCAACTTATATGATCTTTTAAGGAGCTACCTCCAGGACCGAACATTGAAGATAAAAGGTAGCTTCTTTGAAGTACAAGAGTCGATGGAAAGAGGTTGTCCGCAGGGCTCGGTTCTTGGACCAGCCCTGTGGAAATTAGTCTTCGATGAGTTGCTGGGGGTACTAGAACAGGAGCGGTTCCCCGCCACGGCCTATGTTGATGATCTGGCCGTTGTAGTGGCCTCAAACAGCAGAGCCAGGTTAAAAGAAGAAGCTGAACGATGTGCCAACCTCGTAGGAGGATGGTGTGAGAGAAAAAAGATGAAGATGGCGGCTGCTAAGACCCAGTCCATTCTTTTAAGAGGTAAGACTGACAGGGCCCACCCTATTACTCTCAGAATAGAAGGAGAAAGGATACGTCCAAGTGAGGCTGTTACATACCTTGGCATAAGAATTGGGAGAAATTTCAACGTTACGCCTCACTTGGACTACATGAAAAGTAGGGTGGCCCTGGCTCTCAATGGACTTAGTCGCATCGGGGGCGCCTTTTGGGGTCTCAGGTACCCAGCCACGTTGACTATTTATAAAGGAGTTATTCTGGGCATTCTGAGATATGCGTCCCCTGCGTGGAGTCATCATCTCTCGCACCAACAGAAGAAAAGGTTGGCAACAATCCAGCGGATGGCTCTGCTGCGGGTCACTAGAGCGTACCGTTCAGTGTCTCATGAGGCGGTACAAGTCTTAGCCGGAACTACTCCTATTGATCTTCTCCTACGAGAAGAATACTTCCGGCATAAGATGAAGAGAGAAGGCCTGGTGGATCTACCGGCGAATCTTCGTGTGAGGATCAGTGAAGACCCTAATGGATGGAAGAGGATTCTTCGGGAGAACACATTAAAGGAATGGAACCAGCGGTGGGTGACGACGCCAAAAGGGGCTACGCTAAGAAAATACTTCCCCACTGTTGGTTCAAGAATGGAACAGACATGGGTTCTCCCGGACTACTGGGTCTCACAGTTCCTCACAGGGCATGGGGGTTTCCGAGCAAAGCTCGTTGAATATGGCAAGAACATCGATCCCCTATGCCCAAGTTGCAGAGTGCCGGAGACCGCCGAGCATATCATCCTAGTCTGTACCGCCTTTGAGGCACTGAGGGCTAAGTTGTTGAGGGAGACGGGGCTCTACGCTCTGACGGAGAGCGATCTCCCTCAACTTATGACAAAGGAAAAATACCCGTATTACAAGGCATTCGTATACGGGTGGAAGGAACTGGTTGGGTCAAACCACTTTTCATTGGGAAGAAGAAATGAACATGTATACGGAAGACCGCCAGAGAGGGTGGAACAGGATGCTGGATAAGAAGAAAGAAAAGAGCAGGCTGTGTGCACAGCTGTAAAAAATGTAATTGGTCTGAATGCAGCAGTGAATTGTAACGCATGCGTTGCTACTCACTACTGCATAACACCCGTATTGCCTTATCGGCAGGGTAGGGTGTAAATAAAATAAAAAATAAACACATGAAGTTCCAAAATCTCATCTACATAGCGAATGGCCGTCAAAGACCCTCCACGAACAACAACCAATTCTGTGCGGCGCTTCATTGAAATCCCAGCCCACACCATTAAGGAACCACGTTGGAAAGGTTGGCTCTGGAAAAATTACAGGCTGCATGTCTTTCGTTTCTTCTTCTCCACACCCTTTCACGTCTGGAGATCGAAGACCGAATCTTGACTCATCTGTAAAAAGTACAGCATTCCATTCATCCGTAGTCCAATGGCTGTGTTCTCGAGCAAAAGCCAGCCGTGTTACTCTGTGAGTTCTGGTCAACTCTGGTCCTCGTACTGGACGAAAAGCCATTAATCTATACTAATTTAGTCTTCTCCGAGCGGTACATTTAGAAATTTGCACACCTCGAACTTCTTCGAGCTGATAAATCGCTTGAACAACGGTAATGTGCCGGTTTCGTAAAATTCTCAAAGTCAAAAACAGGTCATCCCGTGGTTCTGCTACCCTAGGACGTCCAGAACCGGGCCTTCTATTGTAAGAACCAGTTTCCCGAAAACGCCTGACGGCATCTCGTAAAGTTTCATATGGAACTCTTAGCTGCATATCTAATGGAACGTCCATCATCAATAAGTGTCACACCACGCGCAACATCATTTTTAAACTTATATTGAAAAAAATTAAAAGCCGGATACTAAGAAATGTGCTGCAAGAAAGGGCACTGAACTAATGATACTGAATAAACATTTTTATTCCATAGAAAGTAAACATTGGAATCTAGAATCATTTCATTGAATTAAGGGTTAAGGGTTATTGTCCTCTATATCAACATTCCTAATTGAAAACAAACAAAAAGATTACCTATTTATTCATTAAAAACAATAGACCAATCCAAAGCCCAATCCAATATTTTTAGATGAAAACATGAAAAAATCAAGTGGGTGGAATTGTTCGCCTGTCAGTGTATATGAGACTGTAAAAACAAGAGCGTTTTTTCTTACTTTCAATATTATTGCACAGTCTATCTATTGAATATATAAAATTTATTCCACAGGTATTAATAACCGTTTGTTTTTTCAACTCTATTAGTATGGTAATTCTATGATAGAAATCATTATTTTAAAAATGAAGACTGAATTTCAAACGAAATATATATTATTCAGAAATGAAGGCACTTTTAAAATTCTTTATAGATTTATTAAAATTTTACTATTGTCAATTTTAATATAAGTAGAAGAAGATGTATTTATATGCAAGATGTATTATATTATAATTTCAGAATATTATGGATAAAATATCCTGGTTTCAGCCTATCAATAGGTTGTATAGTATTATCCAGTATATAATAACCACCATTTATCTCTGAACCTTGTTTTGTCTGAAGCGATAAATTATGAACTTGAAAGAGCTCTTTGGAGTCTGTTCTTTTGAACTACTTGAGAGGTAAGAAAGGCGATACGGCCTTGACACCAAGCAGTCGATGCAGCTCCTGGCACAGACCTTCTTCGTTCTTTATAACTTTGCGGTCTTTGTTCTGACCCAGTTCCGCCAGCTCAGTGTTTTTCTAAAGGATCGAGCTCTCGATTTAAATTAATTTTTAAATAATAGTAATTAACCAGCTTTATATTTAGGTATTCGAAACTACAATAGCTCTGTAAGAATTAGATCCCGAAACAAATACGGATGGTCAGTAGTAGAAACGGTGATATATAAGTTATACATATAACAACATTAAGGATGTAGGAGTTGTAGGATAACCAACGCTAAGACAACTGTCAGAAGGATGGCCAAAAAGTAAATGGGAAGATTGTGTAAGGGCCGTTGTTGAGAACTGGGGTTTTGTTGATATGCATGCAGGGACGTTGTTATCGGCGTCGAAACAATGCGTGTCTGTTGGCTGAACAAAAACTGTTAAAGAGGAATGAGACCGTGACTGGACATTCAACTGAATGAGGTTGACGGTACTTGGATGATTCCAGGCCATTTCAAGCGCAGGCACAATTTGAGGCGTAAATTGTCGGTGAAGGGTGTGGTACCCTGGTAACTTCCATTGTTCTGCGGACGGAAGAGTCGAAAGCGGCAAAGGGAGGATACGATTCGTCTTCCTCAAACTGGGCGCAATTATCAAAATTTAATGGCGATATATAAAATATTTGAATGAATTATATTTAACAATAAATTAAAAAATGGCATTCTTCAGATGGCTACTTAAAAATAAACGAGAAAGGTGGAACATAAATTATCAGGGCAACTGAGAAGATCAACAGTTGGTTGATTTCTTATGAAATAATCATTGAAGTTGAAGATATTAATCATTCCTAAAATATTTTATAACGTTTTTCCCCAAAATACAGATGATTTGTAGTTCATTTAAAATTTATCCGTTCAAATTTTTAACTCAACCTAGGAGCTTACTTCAAATGGCAGTTGAAATTATCGAATTCAATGCAATATGACCAATTAAAAGAGCCAAATTTACTAATAAGTGATTAACAAAGAAGAAAAACTAAACGATTGCAAAAAAATTTTGTTTATTTTTATTCTTCTTACGAAGACCCGTTTAAGCGATCGAGTCAGAATGTAGGGCTCTGCCCATCCAATCTGGCGAGGGTACTGAAAACCCCTGCAATGGACGAGATCTGAGAAATCGGACGGTGAGTAAAAGTTAGCGGAACATCGGTTATCGGAATTTTTAATAATTTAGGGTTACTTTAATTATTATGCTAAAGCTATTTATAAATATATCATCATTATTACAATATTTACATGAGCTGGATGTAAAATATCAATTCTACCCGTTCTCTTGGCCCTCCAACCACTGAACCATATGCATGGGTTTACATGACAATTCAAAATAAATCGTTTTTACGAAGTTTAGGATTTATCCAGTCTGACTCAGTCGTGACCATGATCCAAATGGCTCAACGTGAAAACTTTGGTCGTCTAAATGTTCAGTCAAAAGATAGTGCCTCCCTAATTTTTACTTATTGCCCAGTGTTTCGGGGCTTGTCCGCCCGTATGATCGGTTCTTTAGCTATTTAATTCCATATATATTGTCTAGATTCTATTTTTTTGGCTTACGACATCAGGATAATTCTATAATAATAAATATCATACCATTAGAAAATGTGAAAAAAAAAATGAAAATAAGAAATCTTCTATTGATCCAAACATTTTTGTTTAAAGGATTTGAAAAAAAAAAGAAAGGCACTGTATCCAAGTGTGAGGCAATAAAGAGTGTAATAAATTCCAATTTTATCAGATACGGTATGATGATTAATCATCTACAACATAGTCAGTTAAGTATATTATCATTACCAGTGAATAGTTAAGTATTATTATTATTAGATTATCAATTTTGTATTTTATTATTTTTAGTGTTCCTATAAGTTCAACCAATTTGTGCCTACTGCTGTATATTTTATTAATTGCTTAATATACATTTTGGGTATGATGAATAATGCATTTCAATTTTATTAATATTCAATATTATTTTTTTTTTATACTAACGACAAGTTACCCATAGTTACATAAATGGTTCCTTAGGAGCCGATTCGGGAGAAGTCATCCCACCGCTTCATATCTCCGAATCCTTATAGTTACCAGGAAAGCTACATAGTGGTTCTTGATGAAAGAACCCAGGGTAGAGATATTATTTCTAGGTTGGTGCGAGTTGCCTTCAGTAAGCTATAAACCTTTAAAAAAAAAACACAACACACACTTTTTTTTTCGATCCCGGTTGATTAATTTTTAAAATTTTCTTTTAATAGTTCAAATATAAGACCAATGGAACTACCACACAACTAAACAAACAAGTTATAACACCAAGCATAAGCAGAAAAAAAGGACTATTTGAAGTGAATGTTACATGCAAGGCCACCAAATAATTTCGGTTCTGTTTGGTAAGAGTTGAAGGCCTTCGAGATCGTTATCCGGAACCATAATGCCGTAGGTCACAACCTAACACAGCCTTGCCATCTGACACCTTCTGCATTAGCGGATTACTGCGGCTATCGGGTAACTTACAGGACCCTGAGTAATAGGTTAACTCTGTACATGAAACACCCTCCCCCCCCTCAAATGGTAAAATATAACCATGTTTTATGGAAACAAATATTAAAAAAATTATCTCTTAAAGTATTATTGTTCGTGTAATTACATTTAAAAGGACTTTAGGAATCACTTAAACACCATTTCATATAGCTAGTTAATTTCTATCTTTTTTTCTAAACTAATTATCGTTATTTTTACGAGAAAAAAAAATTTCGGACTGAAGCCCTTCCCCTCCCCTAAATTATATTCTGGACCCACGAGTGACTTTGTACACCATTTATCGAGAAAGCGGAATTTCCATAAAAGAGATTGAAGTAAATCACACCAATCTTCAACTCGATCACTAAAATTCTGAACTACGTAGTATTTTACCGTTACAAAATATGTTTGTAAACAATTCATTTCGGATATTATTGGAAGGTTACAGCTCAAAGCCTTGTATTTATCAGATACCAATATTTAACTCGCCAGTCAACGCTTCCACAATGCAGAAAATTAAAACGTAAAATCACATAAATACACAATAGGTACAGTACATTTCACATCAAATGTACTACACCCACAATCTAAAAAAATAACCTAATACATAGGCTTAAAGTCAATTCATAATGATAATTATCAGTATGATTATAATCAGAAGCGCCCGTTGAGGAGGAGAAGAGGTGAGGGGGGGGGGACAGTTGGACAACAAAAGACGCTAGTGATCAGAAAGAAAAAAACAACATAAATATAGTTTATCTGTTTTGTTTTATTTATATACAAAACAGATAGTATTTTTATTTATGCATTTATTTCACCCTCCCATGTTACTAGGGCAATATGGGTGTACGCAGTAGTGTGATGTTAAGCATTTGCATAATGTCAAACTACTGCTATGATAACAGTATACAAAATTCACAGTTGCGCACACACTTCCATGTTTCACCTCTTTCCATTCTTCAATTCAATTAATCAAGAGTGGCTTCCAGAATCTGGAGTTCTGGCATTCTCAACATTCTGTTAAAAAGTAATCCAAGTAAATAACTATTTCGATGTGCTGTGCGGGTCTAGTACACCTTAACGCCCAAATGTTGCCCACTGGTCGCTGGTGACTTTGTTGCACATCTTTTGTCCACTATAATAGGGATCTTACGCTATCATTTAATTAAAAAAAAAAACAAGTAAAAATATAACTTCATTCGCTGTAAATTAGATAAAATGGCCTAGTTATACCAGTGCATCACTGTAGATACTAAATACAAAAAATTCAAGAATGTATTGAATTTTCTTGAATTGGTGTATCATTCTGTCATAAAACCGTTCATATAAAACAGTTGATGTGAGAGGAGCTTTTGTTAGTCTGCGTTCAAGTGATCTTAAAGTGTCAATGTTTAATATCCTTTTATTATCAATTTTTCTTGTTTTAACCATTTCTTTTTATTAATGGCTAATTATTAGCCTTCACGAAGACAAGATCAGACGGTCAAGTTATAAGAGAAACGAGTTCATTGAATAAATTATGGTCGTAAAAGCAGAATGCTACAAATATTATTCTGTTAAAATGTAAATTAAAGCTAATAATAGAATATAAGAAAAACAATAAAATATGAAAATAGAATGAAGTTGCAAAATGATAATAAAAATAAAAGTTGCATAATTACAACGGATTTGAATAATAATTAAATAAAGATAGAATAGAGATTAGTTTATATAACAAACCTGCTTCGGCAATGGTATTCGTAAACAAAAACAATCATAATCAGCAGTAAAAAATGCAAAATAAAAATATTTTAATATTTCCTCAGTTGGACTAGTCTCTTTGAAAAACAAATTGTTTGTCAACTAAAATATGACGTTTGGAATATTGGAGCAGGATTATTAGTCACAGCGCATTATGTATTGAAGAAAAATATCACAACAAAGGTAAAATACAGAAATATATCTAAAAAGAATTTTTAAACAGTAGGCGCCAAAAATATTGTTTTGTTTTTTTCTTATAACATTATTTCAATTTAATGAATAAATCATTAATTGGTAATATATCTCAATCATCGATCGATTGTTTTTCGAAAGTTATAATATTAATTAGTGTAAATATGTTATAATTGAAGTTATTTAAATCGTTAGTTACCACTTCCTTTCCAGTTTCAACATCTTTCTTCAACATTCATCAACTTTATATATTGGTTTACTTCTAGATATTCATGATTGTTTGGTATATTTAAGATAAACAAAAAAACAATATGTTCAGTATAATACACTTCTAGTTTCGGAAATTTTATATCATCCTTAGAATTTGTTCACCATCATTTTCTTCAACTTTTTTTTTTTTTTTTTTTTTTAATTTCTTTATTAAGTATTATAACAATCTGTCTGTTCGACATTGGTTATAGTGAGGTAGGATGACATTCACACCATATGTACAAAAAAAATAAAATAAATAGAACAAAATAATAATCAAAAGTATATACAATAGACAATAAAATAAAATAACCTAAAAAATAAGAAAATTAAAACTAAGGAAAAAAAAAAAAAAATAACATGCATACCTATATACAATCAGGCGAGGGAACTCCAGGAGAACCCTGCGCTACTCTTCCAACCGCGTCACTGGTACTAAAGCCAGCGGAGATTGGTCGAGAGCACTTTAGCCACATACACACATGTCTTGAGTGAAGAATCTGGCCATTGCCAGAACTCCAATTTATATAATTTACAAAAGGTCGCGAGGCCACTGCCGTTTCAACCTTCTTGGAGGATTATAGGGATGGGAGATGCTTGATAGGGATTGTGCAAGAGGATTTGGGTGGTAAGTAAGGTTCTGGTGAAATTTGGAGAACTTTTCTGGGATAAGGTCTAGGACAAATGGGATGTTAAGGTCATGATGTAGGGTTTTGTTGGATACATAGAAAGGAGCATCGACTATTGTTCGAAGGACTTTAGACTGGAAGGATTGGATGCGCTTGATGTTAGAAAATTTTGCTGATCCCCACAGTTCTAGTCCGTAAGTCCAAATAGGTTTCAGTATTGTCTTGTAGATCAGTAGCTTGTTTTCAATGGAAAGTTTAGATTTTCTGCTTAGTAGTCGGTATAGTTGGCCGTATCGTCGGTTGAGTTCTTGTCTTTTGAGTCTAGTATGCGGGTTCCAAGTTAGTCTTCGGTCTAAATGAAAGCCAAGATACCGGACTGTGTCTGAATAAGGAAGCTGGATGGAATTAAAGAGTACTGGTGGACAGGAATTGCGTCGGAGTGTAAAAGTAATGTGTTGGCATTTAGTTTCATTAACTTTAATGCGCCAGTTATTACACCAGTGCTCAATCAAGGTGAGATGACTTTGGAGATTTAAGGATGCTATTTCGGGATCAGAGTTGGATGATAAGATTGCGGTGTCGTCAGCGAATGTTGCAAGAAAAGTATCGGGATGAACAGGGATGTCAGCAGTAAAGAGGATGTAAAGCACGGGACCCAAGACGCTGCCTTGGGGAACACCGGCTTTAACGGAGTAGATATTGGAAAATTCTGTTCCACAGCGAACTCGAAAGGAGCGGTCAGAGAGGTAGGATCGGAGGACTAGGTACAAGGACTGAGGTAAATGGATTTTAAGCTTGGAGAGCAGTCCGGAGTGCCATACCCGGTCAAATGCCTGTGCAATGTCCAGAAAGGCACCCGAACAGTATTCCTTGTTTTCTAGGGCTGAGGAAATATGATCAACGACTCGGAGTCCTTGTTGAACAGTAGAATGTTGAGAGCGAAAACCAAACTGATGGGAAGGGATATTTTGGGATTCTATAATGGGTAGGATTCGTTTCAAAAGGATCTTTTCAAAAATTTTTGAAAGGATTGGGAGTAGGCTGATTGGTCTATAGGATGTTGAGCTATTGAGAGGTTTTCCTGGTTTTGGGAAAAGGATAATAGTGGAGTGTTTCCATAACAGAGGGAAGTGGGTGGTGCGTAGGATACAATTGTAGATATATGTAAGGAATATGACAGCTTTGGATGGAAGTTGTCGAAGGATTTGAGGTGTAAGGAGATCATGTCCAGGAGCTTTACGGAG